TGCTCACAGGCTGCTCCGAAAGAGTTTTTTTATTATTGCACACAGACAAAATAGTTATTAGCAAAGAAAAGTAATATAATTTAAAATTAATGAAAAGTTCCTGAAAGAATCTTCAAAACATTTCATTTCACTCAAAAATTCCTTAGATTTCCTTGATTCCTTTTTTTCCTTGAAATGTCTTTTTTCGGAACAGCTGGGAAATTTGTTGCGCATGCGCCAGATTCCATTGAAACTTGAAGATTTCCCCGAAGAAATATTACGAGATGTTTGTGGTTGTTGTATATTTTTGAATGCCTGTTTAATCTTTATAATTTTTTTTGCTTGAGACAAAGTAAAATGTACTCTACGTTTCCAGTGTATAGAATATCTCGTTTGAACAGCAATAGAATATTATAATCTTGACACAAACAAGAAGACATTTGACACGCTAAATCTGCAGTCATGCCTGAGGTATAAAAGCCAATCGTCGCGAGCTTGACAGCCTTGTCAAACGCAAAACAAGTACAAATTTGGGTTCAAACAGAAAGATGTTCAATGTTAATACAACGAACATATATTGTATACAAATACTGGTGGTTTAAAATGTTTTCAATTGAATTTTCAAAGCTTTTATCTATCGCTATAACTGATCAAACTGTGAAAATGCCGCAGTTTTGTTGACACTTGCGAATGCAAAATAAATTCCCGTAAACAGAGCATTTCTACACAAAACTCTCGCTTAGTCTTCTGATGACTTGTACGTTCGGTTCTACTAGTTGAACAAGGAAAATACTCAAGAAACACTGGTAAATTATCGTTGTCAAAAAAACATTTCAGTGCTGAGGCAGTACAAGGTCTCAAGGCCAAGGGCAAGGTCAAGTTGTCGATTTCATTACATTTTACAGTCTTTACAGTACTTCAAATGTTTTCGAACTCTTGCTTCATACAAGAGCAGTAAACGCACACATTTCAAAGCGAAATTAGACGCAAAGGGGCAATTTTTCAACAAAATTTATTGTTAAATTCTGTTTCCTATGTGCCTTGGGAGCAAAAAAATATGATTTTAAATTTGGCGGAATCGGTAAATTGTTTTGCAGTTTGGCCAGGTATTGCACCCTACCTATGTAATGACTGTGCTGTGAAAGCAATCGAATATACTATTTTGAATTACCCTTCATTGAAAGGATCTACTATTGTGGACTAAACTAAATTTTAATCAGCATACAAGGCTGCAAACAACAGCCAAGAATTAGCTGGGTAGTTTGCAAACTTTAAAAATAATTGGACCTCAAACTTTGATCCCCAAAAGTAAACAAATAGCCAATACTGCAAACATAATCCAAGTTTTGACCACTAGGGGCAATTTTTAGATTTAAAAAAACTTGTTTAAATTACATATCAAACAAAGGCAAAACAAAATTTGGTATTAATTTTTTGGAGGAAACGTCAAGGTTTTTTGCTATCCGTGCACGCTTCTACATCCCCTCCCCCAGGATCTTCTCTATCAGAAAACAGTTTTCTGCAGAAACTATGCTTTTTATCGGGAATATTTTTACTTTTCTCAAAAAAATACTTTATAAACACAGAAACCTTAAATATTTAAATAATTTTCATACCTTTTTGGGATTGCAAAAAGCAAAATTTGATTCATAATCACACTTTTTAAAATATATCTGACAAAGTTGCTTCGAAATCACTATCACGCAGTAGCATGTTTATTTACCCTGATCCTTTTGACTGAATTAAAGTTGATCTTTTTGAAAAGCTATTCGTTTTATAGCTCTTGGTTAGCAGTTTACGTTTATGTCGATTTTGGCACCCATGAGACCAACAAGTTGTGGTAATCTGCAAATGAAAACTGATATTCGAAGAGCACAAAAGCCAACTCCTAGCTATGTAACTTTATCGCCTGAATTTTGAATCAATCCACAATTAAATTGCTGGTAATGTAGATGCTTTTCCATAACTTGAGATGTTAGAAGTTTTTCCAACAATTTAATTTCCTTGATCGCAGTCTTAAAAATGCAAAATCATAAGTTGAAATTTCACTCGTGTTGTTTTTTCAAATTTTCGAAATTTTGTAAAATATCGCGTGCGCCAGCAATTTCTCTGCACAGCGACAACAAATTTCCCAGCTGTTTTTTTTCCGGAAGCATGTACATTACCAGCAATTTAATTGTGGATTCAAAATTCAGGCGATAAAGTTACATAGCTAGGAGCATAGGTAGCCCAACAATCAGTGGTATTAATTCATTTCTGTTCAATAAAATCATACTACTACTCAGTCCCCGACTGCATTGTTTACGCGCGGTCAGATCATGTACGTATCCCTATAGTAATATATGCTAAGGTTGGCAGCTAAATTCCTATATACGCACGTAGCCCTGGCGAAATAGCACAAAAACTTTAAAAACACGCAATAAAACACAAACTAAACAACATAAAAGTAAGCTCAGATACTTTCACTAAACTGCCAGTCAATTTTTTATCGAAAACAACATCGAAAATAACGAAAAATAAGCACAGTTTTTTATCAATTTTGTTGAATTTTCGCTGTGACTATGCGGGATGCAAGTTACCTGATACTGGTATTTTTTTTGAATGACGACTGCGAGATTTCATTGGCTTTGAACATTTACGTCAATCACAGGAAAATCCATTTCAGGGGGGGGTTGTTGAGTGTTTTTCATGCCGACGAGCCGGAATATGTAAAAACAAATGAACAAGAAACATAGAGGATAACGTCGTACACTACACACAATTTTTAAAAAGATTGCAATTATAGAACACAAAACTGCCATGCTCGTTTGAAAATAATGTGAAAACGGAAAAGAAATACTAACTACAACGCTTCAGTAAGTATAAATAATTTTTTTTTATAATTTTTAATGCCGTTTCAGGCGTGGAAAGCTTTTATTACGAAGTCTTTTTTTCATAATACTATAGTTTCCCTTGGAAATGCAGCGACAAATAAATAAAACTCCTGCTGTAGACCAGCTCAAATTAACGATATGGTAAGTAAAATTATATTTTTACGTTTGAATAACTGCATTTATATAGTAAATATATTTTAATTTCGATGTCTTTTGCTTGGTATTTTGCATTTCTTTCTCGGTTTGCATTTCACTAATTGCTCGTCATTGTTGTTGTTTTGCATGTTGCAAAGTATAGCTATAATTCTTATAATTTTATCCTTTATATCCCGTCAAATATTACAACGCTGTAGAAAACCCACATTCATTGTAATTTAAGTGCATTTAAAAAACAAATTTCGAAATGTATAGAGCATTTTATATAACTCTGAAATACATTGCCATTGTCCTTGACCAGGAAGATCGTAAATGTAGTTTGTATATCGTTTGTCATATATCAGTATATATATAGTGGCGACAAAAGCGTATAGAATTAAGGTTCGTTACCCAAATTTTGCAGTTTATCAAATAAAGTCAACATATTATTATAAACATGCACTCAGCCGCAATTCGCAGTTTGACTGACAAAACTCATTAGAAAAATATATTGTTTGCTAACCTCGCTTGTAAGAATTTCGTGTCAGACCATTATATAAAACGTCCCCTGCAAACTATAGTTTCAACTTTCCAAAAGACTTGTCGAGAAGACAATCCAGAGAAAAGACAGGTCCAGTAAAACGCCAACTATACTTATAAAGCGTGATCTCCCTTCATCCTTGACACATGTGGAAACTGATTTAATACCAATCCATTTTAATACACATGCGAAAAGCACAGCCGGTGGGTATTCCTCAAATGTTCCCATTACAATTTCAGGAAACCATCAAATCGTTACCTTGAAAAAACATCAGTTAAATCATGAATCATATGGATCCTTTTTTAAAAAATAAACTTTTCCCTTGCACACGAAATGTTCTTAAAACATTTTGTTGTCTTGAGTATTTCTTTCGAAAACAGCTATTTTTCAAACAATATGTTTCCAAAACGTAAGCTAGATTGTTTAAAACAACTTAAAAACGAGTTTATTGTTAATTTGCATACGAGTGATCAAAATTTTGTATATACAAAAGGCCCCAAAAGATTCGAATAGTCAGTAAAAACTCATGAGGTCAAGTTAAGTTATTTTGCTAAAAAAAACATGAAAAAACAAACTTTATGCTATACTACAAGAAGCTTAAACAGCTTAACATTGTATTTACCTCACTTGCGATGCCAAACAGGATCCTGATCGCTTAAATAACTTGAAAAGAAAATCATTTCAAAACGACAAACTTGAAAAATAAACTTCCATAACTCGTACGACAGCGTGTTCATTTTTGAATTTCGATTGCGCATGTCCGAGAGCGCGAGCTTAAATAACATCGCCCAAAAAATGATCAGCTTGCGATAATTAAAATATCAACACGTATAAAGGCATACACTAAAAGCGCGTTGCTTGAATTATAATTTTTTGAAAATTAACAGACATAATCCCTGTCCGTAATATTATAACTGGCTAACACTCCATAATTGCATAATCATGATCAATAAGAGTTTAAATTAAAAATATCTTGGATTTTAGGATCGTGAGCAACTATGAACACAACGAGGGTGATTTTGTTTCCATAAAATCAGTGCTGGAAGAGGCCAGTAAGAATGACAACAGCCGGAATTTCAGCATTAGCGAAAGATTGGTCGGAGTTGGAATCAATAATATATGGAGTGATAAAGTAAAAAAAGTTTGTTCCTCTTCAAACACGGGATCTGGATACCGAAATCTTAGAAAGCGTTTATGTTTTCCGGAAGAGGTGGGAATTCGAACCCTCGACAATGAAACTGTGACAAGATTAGAAGTGTTGTCGTCGAAGCATGAGGGATGGATCATAGATTTTTCCAATGAAAGTCAATTCTCTTTGCTTAATGTTCCGTTGTCACAAGTAGGAACAACTGTGGATGGTCGGCGTCTGGTATGCGAAATAACTGGTAACTTGGATCAGTCAAATATTACTCTACGTACACACGGACAGCCAGTATTACTCAACAAATTATGTCATCTAACCTATTATAACCATGGATTCAACGTCGCTCTGCTTGGGTACTGTAATAGTTGCAGGCAACGATGAAGGGAGTATGACGTACTTGAAAGATCCTGTAGCTGGCTCAATGATCGTCAATATCAAAACGAATAATGGAAAGGAAGAAACAAGATTAATTGCAACATCGTGTTTGTTAATAACGTCAGGGACTCGGGCGTGCAAAAACTGCACGTATGCTGCAAAGCTTTGGTACAACCGCGAAACCAAGAGAAACGTGAAGGGTGGAAGTCTGCACAAGAAATGCAATGTTCGTTTTCTGGCAAGAGGTGGATTAGAGGAAAAGGTGTGCAAGCAGAGAAAAGAGATACGGAGTGATAGTGTGAGAGAGAAGAGAGCAATGGACGAAATGATCGAATTTTCCGAAAGTGACTGTGTGGACTTGAGGAAAATAGTGGATAACGTTGACAGCAAAGACGTCCCAGAAGACATGGCACTTCTATGGGAAATGCAGAGAAAGCAGTTAGCTTCGAAATCTCCAGCTGGTTATCGATGGCATCCAAAGTAGGTATATTTATATATGCATTAGAAAATAAGTACCTTAAATGTGCTTAGAATCAGCGCAGGGTTTCACTGATTCAGATCGACGATATCCCGTAAAAGTTACACTTGTAATTTTTTTAGAATTGTGAGGTTTGCACTGGATATCTACTGCAAGAGTCCCAAATCACTTGACGCAATGCGAGATACTTCCAAGCAATCGTCTTATAAGGTAAATTATCACTGCACTAAATATATTTTATATTATACGTTGTATGATTGATTATGATTATGAAAAGAATCAGAAGGCCTATTCTGACGCATATTTCTAACATAAATCCTTGACAAGTTTTTACATAGTCATTGGTCACATGAATGCAGATGTGCATGTGAAGCATTAGAGTGGATTATCATGTTACAAAAACAACTAATTATAAACTCTCTTAAATATCCTGTGTCTTATATTGTAGATACTACAAGAACTGTGTAAGCCAGCAACCAGCATGGAACACAGAAACGATTGAATGGTGCCGAAAGGAAGCCGAGCGAAAAAACCTCAAGTCTGCAGACTATTGGGGAGGTCTGGTTGTCGATGAGATGAAAATACAGGTATACTGTATGGGTGAACAGGACAGTATAATTTTCTATGTTATACATTAGAGATATAGAATAATTTTCTTTTGTTTCCATAGGAGGATTTACAAATGACAGTGCAAGGAGGCAAGCATCAGCTTGTAGGAATGGTTTCTCTTGGAGAATTTTATCAAGACATGAAACGAGTTGAAACAGGTGATCTCTCTCAAATAATAATTATTATAATAATAGTCAATTAGAGCAATAAAGTATAATAAGAATAATATAATCACATCAAAGCTATGTTATCTATCTAAATAATATATTCTATTATATTAATACAGGAACATCGGATATACAAATAGCAACTCACTTGCTTCAATTCATATTCCTCAGTGATTCTGGATTCCGATTTCCCCTAGCACATTTTCCGACAGCACAATGTCCACCATCAGCTCTATATTTTCAATTTTGGGAAGGAGTCTTACAAATGAAACGAACAGGTTTCAGGTAAATCCATACACATCATTATATTATTTTTTTACGAATTTTCTAATGGACCATGACCAAAAGAAGAAGAAGGTACAGAATAATACTAAAGGAAGGCGATAACACTAATAGCGAATTATTTCCCCTTACATTTAGTATTTACTATTGTATTTGCGATGGTGGGGACGCCAACAGACAGTTTATTAAAATCCACTTTTCCAACTGCAGTCCAATTGACTTACATTTTATTGGCTACAACATGTGGACGGAAGATCCTATGGTATTTCAAATGGACTGTAAGGTATTTGACTTGCAATATATGGCATATGCATGTATAGGCTTAATTTCAGCATGTAGTTACTATATATAGCCGTTGATATAGGAATTCTTTAAATAGTACATAAAGGAAGAACATTGGTTTTATATAAATTGGATGTTTACAAGCAAATAACTAACAGCATGCACTAACAATTTACTCAAAATCATTACTCGGTAACTATTTTACAGCACAACTTCAAGAAAATTCGCAATAATATTGAAAAAAGCTCCCCTTCAGGAACAACAAGATGCCTAACTAAAGACGGAAAAAATATATTCTGGTCTCACTGGAAGGAAGCCTACTTGTGGGATCAGAGGTGCAACTCTCGTCATTGCCATGAACGTCTAAAGGAAGATCATTTTGAACTGACACCAAGTTCCAGGATGAAGAACAGCCTGGCGGAAGATGTGCTAGACAAAAGGATGTTTAATCTTATGAAAGTATATATGCTTATAATGATCCTATATATAAGAATAAAAGTATATTGCATATCGTTTATATCAGTGATAACAAGAGAAAGGGTTAGTATACATGTGATAATTAAGTGTTCGCAGTAACATACATGCAAGCATGCATGTATTTCATCCACGAATGGATTTCTGCCTCGATTCAGTGTAGTTGCACCGGAATATCAATGTTAATGATCTCTTAATGGTGGGCAGCGGGAGTAAAATCTGGACCTCTCTAATTATCTTGTCTTTAAATAATGCGACGACTGTTAAAATCTGTTATTATTTCAACTTTAGGCTTACAAGGAACATCTAATGATGACAAATGACGAGGACGCCAATAGGCTTGATGAATCGATCTAGCTACTGAAGCATACAAGTGCTATGATAGAATTGTTTTCTGACAAATATGTCATATACGACGCCAATGATGTCCGCCTCCAGCAATTAAACGAAGCGCTTCGTTATTTCTCTCACTGGAAAGAGCAAGTGCAACAAGCCAAAAATCAGTTTTTCTCTGACAAACTTTGGTTTGACTTGCAATCAATGATTCTTGGTTTTCGTTCCATAGTTGAAGTGAAGTTATCCCGCTTTCCAGGATCGGTTATTAAGCCCGCAATTATGAATCAAGATCTGGTCGAAAATCACTTTTCCCAACTCCGGGCTGCGAATGGTCAGAATGAGAACCCAACGTATCTCCTGACGCAAACTATGCAAAACTCGGTGATATTTGGGCAAACTACTGTCAGCCGGAAAGGAAATATAGGCACAAGCAGAAATTCATCGTTTTCTGAACTACCGAAAAAACATATATTTAGCAAAAAAAACTGAGCGAATGTAATGAACATGCATGCACTAGTATAACTGTACAATAATTAAAACTATGAATTCTACGTACATGTATATACTACAAGTATACAAATGCTAGTAGAAATTTTTACATTCATAAATATATACCACAGTCTTTATAAGTCTATATTGGAAAATATAGACTGCGTATAAACGTCATTAAGGAGATATAGCTAGCTAATAACATGCCAATATTATAAAGCAGTTTTTCGCACGACGCGACTTTTTCTTGGTATGCAGCATGCATAACGTACACGTCACCAATACACAATAACCTATTGCGTAGATACGATAAAAATTCGATGCCCACAAAGGGAAAAAGTTGCTTCGTGTGGAAAAAAGTCGCTAGTGCCGTCTCAAAATAATAAGGTTAATAGCGTCATATTACGCACACGATAGGGATAGGGTTATGATTGATGAAATTCAAAGAGAAATATTGGTGCGTAATAATATTGGTGCGTGAAACCTTACGACTTACAATAAATAAATCTTCCAGCTAGATGACTAGGTTCGTTTGAATAGATAATTGTAATTACATATCTATAGTAATAAAAATAATACTTCACGTATTAGGTACTTTCAAGAGAATTTCTCTTCTTATATCAGACGCACGTGTTCCTTTAACTCATTAACGCGCAAGCTGTTACAATGTTTCTACCCCTCATTAATTTGAACATACTGTTTTCTCCCAGTTAAGTAATTCAATACCCAATAGATTGCATCATGAGAGAAACCGACGTTGTGAAGTTTCTTAAACACGGTGGCATACTCGACAGTGTCAAATGCTTTAGAGAAGTCAGCGAAGGCGATGAGCGTAACTTCTCCTTTTTTCATCGCATGAATGATGTCGTCTCTGATTCGCAGTAACACTGAGTTGGTGGAGTGGCCTTTGCGGTATCCTGACATACCACTGTGGAGTATGTTATGGTCTTCTATGTATAAAAGCAACTGTTTGAGAACAAGGCGTTCGTAGATTTTTGATAAGGCTGGCAAAATTGCAATAGGCCTGAAATCATCCGATTCGACAGGGTGGTCAGTTTTAGGTATTGGGGAGACTCGTGCAAGCTTCCAAATTTTTGGAAACGAGTTATTAGAGATGTAATGGATGATGTGAGTCAGTGGTGAAGCAATCCAGTCTGCTGCCAGCTTAATGTATTTAACTGGTATTTGATCCGTCCCGGTTGAGCAATCTGATCGTAGACCTTTTATTTCATTTAAAACCTCCCGAAAGGTTGCTGGACGTAAAGTAAAGGAGTGGTTAGTGTTATCTGGAAAAGTGTTAATCAGATTCCGTAGGTCGTCAGATGATGAAGGGGAAGTTCCCAACAGACGCTGAGAGGTTGTACTAAAATGATGGTTCAATACATTGGGATCCGCAGAAATTTTTTGTTGACTGGGATGTAAGATGCGATGGATTGTGCGCCAGAGATCTTTGGGTTTTCTCGACGATAGAGCTTTCCGGTAGAAGGGATCGTTTTGCTTCCTTGATTCTAGTTTTGATCTTATTTCTGATTCCACGGAATAATTGCCAAATGCTATCTTTCTTTGTGGCATGAGCGAGATGTCGAAGCTTGTTCCTTTCAGATTGTAACTGTTTGATGTCCTCAGCATTTAACCAGGGTGCCGGTGGCCGTGTAATCTTCATCTTTCTCAGTGGGGCGTGTCTGTTTATGCTAGATTTGAACAAACTGTTAAAAATCTCTAGTTTATCGTCTGCTTCATCGGTGCTATACACTATATTCAGTGGTAACGCTGCGACATCTTCAAGGAAGGCATTTTCACCGAATTGTCGTTCATTTCTAATAAATTTGAAGCGGGGTTCGAAACGAGTGATTCTCACATTGAGGCAGACGTACGGAGCGTCGTGGTCGCTGATCGTTGGACAAGGCAATACGCCCGTATGCGTCACTCGACTTGGTATGTTACTTATTATGTGATCAATTAATGTTTTAGAGTTTGCCGTTGTCCTTGTTGGTAGCTCTACATGTTGATGAAGATTGAGCGATTCTAGCATGTCAATATATTGTTTTACTTGGGGCTGTTCAGGCCTGAGCAGATCTATATTAAAATCACCGGTGATCACGAGAAGCCCGTCCCACTCTGTGCACAGTTGGCTGATTACGTTTTCACTCTTATCTATCCAAGTTTGAAAATCTTGCATCCGATTTGATCGATACATAACACCTAATAGTAGTTTGCTATTCTTATTCGGCCACTGATTTCTACCCAGATCTGCTCCAGCTCAGGCTCAATTTTCTCAATGTCGGTCCTACGTTTAAAGTTGATTGAGTAAGGGCCTCTAGATGTTCATCTGTTGAATCCTCAAGCGAGTTATTTACTATGTTATTATCCGTTATAGCATTAAGAAACTCTTCCTGTTGGCAATTGAAAAACGGAAGTGTTGATATTTGACACTTAGGACATAAGAGTGTTTCTCAATTCTTTACCCTTAAGATTAGTGCATTTTGCGTGGTACAAATCAAAGCAAACGGTACACAGGGATCTCTTGTGATTTGACTGAATGGTCTTAGTGCAATTTGGACATTTGGCGTTTATTTTAGTTCTTTGTACGGCTGGTGTTTCAACGGTTTTCCTTTCTTGAATTGGGCCCGGGTTTTCCTCGATATCTCCACTCAGTACAAGCCTTCGCGTCGCTGACGAGTTGCTGTAATAGGCGACAGGCTTCTTCTGTCGCTTGAGTTTTAATAGCAGAGACACGGTAGTTTTTAGCTTCCACGTAATATGAAAGAAGCAACATGTTTGTTTCTGTGTGCGTCCAACCGTGTTAAATATTATGCAAATATGAATTTCATTCTTGCTCAAATCGTTGTCAAATTCTTGGCCATGGATATTCTGAGTTTTGCCCAGTGAATGCAGGAACTCTAACGTTTCTTCACACAATATATGCTTTCCGGTCCCGTTAGTAAATCGTAACGTTGTTAAGTTAGCCATCGCAAATAGTCCTGCATCATTATCTGTCTCAATACCGTGCTTTCGCATGACGACTCGATTCCCAGGCAGATAACATATATTGCAAGAATTTGCTGAAATCAAACCATCCGCTTGCAATCTATGAACAATCGTAGAGAAGAATGCTTTACATCCATGTAAAGCTGTTTTGTCAAATAAAATATTGTTTAAAATAGCAGCAATTAGGAAAAGGCACAAGAGCCTATTAATTAAACCGACCGCCATTGATGCATTCAAACCAATGTTATTCACTTCTCTATTCAAAGCACTGAAAAACACCATAAAGAGAAAAACATTTTAAACATACATCAGGTAAGCCTTTTAGCTCAATTTTCTCATGTTTCTGTTTGGAAAGAAACGGTTTTTAGCCAAAATTATTTTGCGCGCCAATGTAGGCTGCTACAAAATGTCAGACCCGCGTTCTCTTTTGAAGTCTGGCTCTGAAAAACAATCGCTTTTTTTTAGTTTGAAATAAGCTTTCATTAGGACTAATTGTGTAGAAATGTTATCTGTATGCTCAAATGAAAAAGATAACCTAATAGTCAGGTATTCAACATAGCTATAAAAGGGTGAAATAAGGACTTTCATCTTTGGTTGTTTGTCAGACATGAGAAACCACATAAGTGCCATTTTGTTGCGCGTGCTATTTTATAAAATAAACACCTCAAAACCATAAACTTTTAGTTCAGAAAATTACAAAGTTTCCCATAGACATTATTAAAAATGTTCTAGTGAAACGATTTCATGATAAATAAGTGAGCAATGGGCCCGAAAGGACGGCTAAATTATGTTTTTGTTGGGACTTCAGTTTCATGGCTTCCCGCAAAGGAAGCCATTTCAGAGAGAAGCGACAACAACGGCAAACAACCGTCGCGACCTATTTTGATAACTTTTCCTTCTGACTCAACATGTAGTTACTAGAAAATGAGGTTGGATCAACATTACTATCTGCCTTATCGATTTAAAGTTTTATGGGGATATAAAACCCAATACAAAAAGCATTTTAAAAGCTTTAGAACTCAAGTGCGGACTTTTTGAGAATTTGCACGCGGCAAGCAAGCGCATTAATTCAATACACTTATTTCAAACCACAATATGTCTGAAACGAGTTGTCATTTTAAGACTAAATTGATGAAAATAGATATAACAGTGATTTTGGAGTACCCTACTTACTTAGTGTAATTTAATACTCGAAGTATTCTTGCCAAATAGGGTACGTACGCACACAGTAATTTAATCTGGTGTCGTTTGAAACATACTTTAGCTAAAATAACAACTTGAACAAGAAGACTAACAATGGGGTTACGAAAACAGTCGAAATTGTGCCCAAATTTGCATAAACAGTTTGTCTAAAAAGATAACTTTAAACTAGATTCAACCAACATTAATGCAGTCGAATTTTGTGAGTGTTTGATCGCATATTTCTACCCAAAAATACCCTTTAAAAAATCGTATCTGCTCACTTGTGTTCCGTGTTCATCTTTCTTGTGATTTCCGACTTCTATTTTTAATAAAGTTTGGAGAAATCCTCATCTTTTTGGCTGAAAATCTCGCGCATGGTTCACAGAAAAACTTGGCCCCAAAACGTCAATACATTCGCTTTCCTTTCATGCCAAATTTTCGTTGTAGTTGATTCAGAAACCTCTTCTTTTTTTGCTTTTAAAACTTCAATTAAATAAAACTAAAATCTTTCTTTGTAACAGAATCGCCATTATTCATTATTTTTGGAAAACTAAGATTTTAAACTTGAAAAACTTTGCGAGTTTCTGACCGATTTTCTTGCATGATACACCGTTGAAAAGCTCGAATTTCACGTTCTATTTTCGTATCCGTTGCTAGGCAACCCAATAAACACGTGCTCAAATATCATGCCCGCAAGTTAAGGTGTCAATCTCAGGGCGCATACGGGCGTTAATGAGTTAATTGAAATACTGTAAATATACTAGCTGTATATATACTGTTACTATATATTGCCGTCAGAATGTTTGAAATATGAATGTTATCAATTTATTCAACTTCAAGTCTAAGTGTCTGTCCAAACAAGAATCGCAGTAAATGTAATAATAATTATTGCTTATATATACTGAATAAGCACAATACGTTTGTATAAGGGGCGGCATGATTACATGGAGCTTTTTCAACCCTGGGGCTGAATTCAACCCTGTTGACGAGGCTGAAATTTCAGACCTGCCCTACTATAAAACCCTTTTTGCATCAAATGTGTGATTCATGGCAAAAGTTTCAGCCCAAGGCTGAGTTCAACTAAGGGCAGAAATTTCATCCCAGTTTGAGCTAACGCCGAGTTGAAATTTCAACCTGTGCCAGGGTCAAATGATTATCTCATATACCTATAGCGTATGAGCGGCTTTCCTATTGGCTACGAGGAGGTGCGTTCAATCTCGAACCCACCTTCAGAAGAAAGATGGCCGCCGAAATTTGTTCGGCACGGGCAGGTTTATATAAATCTTGGCGGCAATGTTTTAGCAGAATGCGTGCATTTTCTCTTTTCAAGAGGGGAATATTGTAGAGAATTGTTTTAGCTTCAATTTAAGCCTAAGTTTGTTTGTTTGCGGAGTATGTTGGTGGCTAAACTGTTCGTTATCCAAACAAGAAATTGTATGCTAAAATGCGTAAATTCTTTAGTACTTTTTACCGAAATGGCATGTGATAAAAACCAAACATACTTGCAGGTTCGGTGAGTCCGGGATTAGTTCGGGAAACTTCCTGTCACCCTCGGTGAGTTCGGGAAACTTCCAGCCACCCTCGGTGCGTCCAATCCCGGACTCACCGAACCTGCAAGTATGTTTGTTATAGACCCGCGGTTGAAAGTTTGTCATGTAATCATTCAGTTCTCACTGACTATAGTTACATACGACGAATCCTTAGTCGTGGAATGTTATGAGGTATATCCGAATCAGACACTTCCTGAACAACTGCATAACATGACAAGACTTGGTGGCTTGGCATATTTTCGCATTGTCGTATTGTCAATGCTAATTCTGACGCTAGCTTTTCTTTGTTCCAACGAGCAAGACAACGAACGTTGTATGCACCACATAAACGTTGGTATACAACAGAGTTAGGCCTTTGTGTGTTAACTCGTTTACCAAAGATAACAAACGTGCGTGAGATATTCTTTTCCCTGGACTTCGATCTTGTTCCATCTGTTTGAAATGCACTTTCATCCTCCTCTCGTTCGCCTTTTCCTTTCTTTGAAGTACTGCCTTGCGATGTGCCAAAGATTTCTTCAAGTGGTAATCGCGTCGAAAATCACGTAGGAATTGCCCTGCACCCATTTTCATGTATCGTTCGACAATCTCCATAAATAGCTCACTCACCAAACCCTTTAAAAGATATTGTATCAGAGATTAATAGATGACTGATATTACCTTTTCCTACCTGTTCCTGATTTAATACCAGATAGATCGGCAAGAAAACAGTGTATTGACTAAAAATTAATATTGACTAAAAATTAATATTGACTGAAGCTACGTTTATGCGATTCGTATTCTGGCGTATGGAATTTACTGCTGCAGTCTGCAGACGCCGCAAAATGCAACCACTTTACGCGTGCTAATTATTCGATTACATACGATAGAATACGAATCGTACACAACAAATCGCAACGTGTAAACGTTCGACAGAGAAATATAGTATTTCTCAGATTTTTCTTTTTTTCTCAGAGATCGATATGGCAAAGCAGCCAAATTGAAAATTAGTAGAAGCGAATACATACCTTATCTTCATCTTCATCCAAATGAAACAAACCGCCAAAATGATTTATTAGTGTTTTGTTGCTTGAGACTGCTTTTATAGACATATCAACCATGTTGGATTGATGAGACGTCAACTTTACGAGGTTAATATTGTTTACCCTTTCTTGCTCAAGTGACAGGAAGAATTCATACGCACCGTCACTAATATGTAATAAACCCCTCTCTCGAAATTGGTGACACTCTGTGACATTCAGTGTCTCCGGATTTGCTGTATAATTACTAAGAGTTGCGAACGGCATTATTACGTTGTTTTCCAACAGGTGCATTTTCTTCATTTCTTTTACCACCTTTTCACCAACAGCTTTCGTTTCAGATTGCTTGTTTGCTTCCACATAGCGTCAACTCTTTTCGAGGGATTTTCTTACCGCCCATCCTCCAATATACCTGATCTTGCCTTTCCCTTCTGATTCCATTTCATCCACTCTAAAACAAATCGGATCCTGCTCTTCTTGCTTTCGCACTCGCTTTCCTACTTCTGCTGTAAACATTCCGTACAGGTGAAACAGTAACTGTGCTGTGAGACTTCTTTGACCAGCGTTAAGATCCGACCATTTCTCAACATTAAACGCACTGATTATATCACTTCGGTACTCGTTGGTCATGAACAACTCGTGAAGCTTACCGGTCGCGCACGTAAAGTTCTTATTCGTGATGTGTATATCATTTAAATTCTCTGTAAGGTAATCGCTGAATAATGTAGCGATTCGACACCAAAGGACACATGCTAACAGGTTGAATGTTTGCAAGTTGTCCATTGCAAAACTTGCGGCTGAATTAATGGCTTTGGAAAATGGATCTTTGCATTTGTTGTGCAATTTGACAAACGTTTTGATATCGAAATCATTGGGAGGGCAAGAAAGTTTGTGAGTAAAATCGGATAAACACAATAGGACATCTTCAAGATTGACCGAAGCACCTTCGGCCGATTCGAAAAAATCCTTTGCTGCTGCTTCGTATTCCAAACCATCGTATGCTACGCCGTTTTCGTCATCAATGCAGCTTTTGATTTCCTCTGATACAGCGAAAGAGCACGCTTTGTCCAGTTCGATCTTCCTACAACAGCGAAATGTTGGGACTGGTTCTCCCGACGAGGTTGTTGTCAGTTTGGTAAGTGATGTTGGAGGTGGCATCAAAAAATACTTGCGGAACCCTACGACCCTGACGTCATCTGCGTGTCTAACCCTGGAAATTGCGACGTAGGTTTGGCCAGGAATGAATTCAGGTGAACAGTGAACGACTATACGCTTCATTGTTAAGCCCTGTGATTTGTGAGTGGTGATTGCGTAACATAGAGACAAAGGGAATTGCGTGCAACTAGCTTTCACTTTTCCTGTTGCGTCATATTTGTACCAAATTCTGCGCTGTATTGCAACCAAGCCAACCTTTGGAAAATTCACCAGCAGTGCTTCACCATTCGGGTCAACGCCAACAAATTCACCGCAGGTTCCATTTCGTAACTGTTGACTGACATTGTATAAGAGCATGACTCGACATCCTGGTTTTAGATGGAGAACTGCGCTTATGGTTCTGTCGAGCGATTTGGCAAATCCTGTGTCTGAGCTTTTGAACGTTAACTTTGGGCCGGAAAGAGAAGCTAAGATATTTGCATTATGCACTTCGACAGGAAGCCTCTTGAAATATATATGTGTTAACGATGTTGGTAGACTGTCAGAACTGGAAGGAAACTCTCCAGATAAAATGGAAAAATAGCGTTCAGTTTCGTCGTCGCACCTGCCACTTCTTATCATATTCAAAGCTTCTTTGAACTTCACTTCTGATTCCTCTTGCCGTAAAATTTTGGTTAGCTCAAACCTATGCGGAAACACTTCTCCGAACAACTCTGATTCATACACTGGGTCTCCATTATCTACCACACTCTTAATTGGTTTTAGTTGCCAGAAATCTCCGACCAGTATGACTTGAAGCCCGCCAAATGGAAAGGGGTTGCTTGATATTTCCTGGTGCAACAGATTTACCAGGTTAAATAGACGTCGACTTGACATAGAAATTTCGTCCCAAATTAACACGTCAATGTTTTTAATCTGCTCAATGATGTTCCCCCGCTCAAGGCAACGCTCTAGTAACTTATATTGTGGCAATTCAGCCGTTTGCAATCTGTAGTGAGAGTGGACAGTTTTCACCACCCCATTGTACTCTTCGCAGGCTATTCCACTTGCACAAACAATCTGGCATTTCTTTCCTTCTTCAGTCAACTTTGATCTGATCTTTTGTACCACCGTTGTGTTTCCAACGCCAGCTCTGCCAAATATGCAAACGTTGTGGCCAGTTGTGGCAAAATTTAAAATATTCAGTTGCTCCGATGTTAATTTTGTGTATGCCATGTTACTCTTAGCTTATTACCTTCAAATGAATAAAAAATTACTTCACTTATTGACTATAAAATTAAGCTGCAGTATGACTTCTTTGAAGCTCGGCTAGTAAAACTAATTCATATAGAATGGGATCAAATGTTGTTCAGAAAAGGTGTTAGCCAGTTATGATATTACGGATAGGGATTATGTCTGTTAATTTTCAAAAAATTATAATTCAAGCAACGCGCTTTTAGTGTATGCCTTTATACGTGTTGATATTTTAATTATCGCAAGCTGATCATTTTTTGGGCGATGTTATTTAAGCTCGCGCTCTCGGACATGCGCAATCGAAATTCAAAAACGAACACGCTGTCGTACGAGTTATGGAAGTTTATTTTTCAAGTTTGTCGTTTTGAAATGATTTTCTTTTCAAGTTATTTAAGCGATCAGGATCCTGTTTGGCATCGCAAGTGAGGTAAATACAATGTTAAGCTGTTTAAGCTTCTTGTAGTATAGCATAAAGTTTGTTTTTTCATGTTTTTTTTTAGCAAAATAACTTAACTTGACCTCATGAGTTTTTACTGACTATTCGAATCTTTTGGGGCCTTTTGTATATACAAAATTTTGATCACTCGTATGCAAATTAACAATAAACTCGTTTTTAAGTTGTTTTAAACAATCTAGCTTACGTTTTGGAAACATATTGTTTGAAAAATAGCTGTTTTCGAAAGAAATACTCAAGACAACAAAATGTTTTAAGAACATTTCGTGTGCAAGGGTTCATATTTTTTAAAAAAGGATCCATATGATTCATGATTTAACTGATGTTTTTTCAAGGTAACGATTTGATGGTTTCCTGAAATTGTAATGGGAACATTTGAGGAATACCCACCGGCTGTGCTTTTCGCATGTGTATTAAAATGGATTGGTATTAAATCAGTTTCCACATGTGTCAAGGATGAAGGGAGATCACGCTTTATAAGTATAGTTGGCGTTTTACTGGACCTGTCTTTTTCTCTGGATTGTCTTCTCGACAAGTCTTTTGGAAAGTTGAAACTATAGTTTGCAGGGGACGTTTTATATAATGGTCTGACACGAAATTCTTACAAGCGAGGTTAGCAAACAATATATTTTTCTAATGAGTTTTGTCAGTCAAACTGCGAATTGCGGCTGAGTGCATGTTTATAATAATATGTTGACTTTATTTGATAAACTGCAAAATTTGGGTAACGAACCTTAATTCTATACGCTTTTGTCGCCACTATATATATACTGATATATGACAAACGATATACAAACTACATTTACGATCTTCCTGGTCAAGGACAATGGCAATGTATTTCAGAGTTATATAAAATGCTCTATACATTTCGAAATTTGTTTTTTAACTCATTAAGTTGTAGACTGTTGCAACATTGGCACTCCCCAAGTTGCAAGGAAAATGGCGAATTTTAGTTACTGTCAACTTCTGTCAACTGCTTTTATAAAAATACCCATATCTCAAGATCAATGTTATAAAAAACCTTGAAATTTTGCAGTGGGTTAAAATGATAAATGATTAATCAATTCTATTTTAAATGAGCTCCCACACTAAAATATATCATTAGATTTTTGAGTGAGAATTCTTGGTTTGTGTAAATTTAAGTGTCTGACATTTTGTTTCTTCATGACACCCAACATCTGAAGGGCAATAAGTCAATAACCCAACATAAATGGAGAAATATTTTTTGATTCCTGGATTTGTACACATTTATTTTCAAATTAGTTTTCATCTTGTAGGGTATAAATTACAAAATAATGAAACGCTATAAAAATTTGCTTGGGCATAGCTCAAGCACACTCAGGACATCTAGTTTACAATGGAGAACTTGAACTTCAGAACTTGTTGTTCAAGTCCAAAAACTCTGTAACCCAAAAACACAGTGTTTGTACCTCTTTGAAGTTTTTAAATAGCTCAAATATGTTTGGAAAAACACGAAGTACAAAAATTACTAATTAAAATATAAACAAAGGATGAAAAAGGTGAGAAAAATTTAAAATATTTGAGGTGTTTTCAATTCTGACTTTGACAGCCGGCATTTTCAAACTCAGCGTGCGGTGACAAAACAAAAGGTTTTTATTTCGCTATTAAGAGCACTGAAAGTCGTCAAAAAGAGATAAACACTTTTGAATATTCATCAGGTAAGAATTTTAACTGAAATTCCTTTTGTTTCTGTTGAGAAAACAACGGATTTGTGGCTAAAACGTTGTGCGCGCGAATGTAGGTTGCTGTAAAATGTCAGACAGGTGGTTTCTTTTGAAATCTGACTCTAGTTTGAAATCTGACTCTAGCTTGAAATAAGTCCTTTTCAAGGACCAATTGTATAAAAATATAATGTGTATGCTCGAATAAAATGAATAATCTAATATTTAGGCATTTTAGATTGCTATAAAAGAGTGAAATAAAGTATTTCATCTTTGGTTGTTTGTCAGACGAGAGTAAACACATTGGTGACACTTTGTTGCGCATGCAGTTTTCAAAAGATAAACTGCTAAAAATATAGCTTTTATTTCACCAAATAGCAAAGCATCTTGCAGATATTATTAAAAGAGCTCAAGCGAAGTAATTCCATGATAAATAAGTGAACAATGAGACCAAAAAAGCGACTAAATTACAATTTTGGAAAGTACATAAATTTAATGGCTTCCCGCAAAAGAAGCCATTTCAGAGGAGAACGGCATTTTGTAAACTACTCTCCTGACCTATTTTAAACTTTTCCTTCAGGTAATCGATGAGTACTTCTTAGAAAATGAGCGTACATTAGTTTTACGATGTGCTTTATTGATTTAAAAATTTTATGGGGATATATGAAGCAATAAAGTGTATTTTAGAAGCTTTTCAAATCCCTGTCATGAAGGTTCAGAATTCGCACGCGCCAAGTAACGGCATAATTCAATACACTGATTTTAAACCACATTATCTCTAAAATGAGAGCTCGTTTCGAGACAAAGTTTGTAGAAACAGATATAGTATTCATTGTAGAGTATTCTACTTAGTTTTAATGCGGTTTTACTCGAAATTTTTCTTGCCAAAAATGTATATACGCACATGACAAGTTGAACCTACTGTCTTCGGAAAGTACTTCGGCTAAAATAACAACTTGAGCAAGACGACCAACAGTAGGGTCACGAAAACAGTCGAAATCATGCCATAAAATGCACGAAACGTTCTTCTAAAAACTTAGTTTTAAACTAGATTGAACTTGCTTTAATGCTATATCGTATTTCATGAAAACATGCCAGGTATTTTCATTCAAAAACACGCTAAAAAAATCGTAACTACTCACTTGGATTTAGTGTTCATGTTTCTTGCGATTTCCTACTTCACTTTTCCGTTAGATTGAAAGAAATTGCTGTTTTTCTGGCTGAAAATCGCGCGACTTGATTTGGACAAGAACTTGACTTGAAACATATGCACACTCCGTTATGTTTTACAATATATTTTAAATGTAAAACACTTTAAAAACCTCTTCTTTTTCATCCTTAAAACTTGCTGCAAAGTCCTATCTTGTGACACTTTGCGGTTGTCGCAGGTTTTGTAAAAAAATAGAGTTTTAAAATCGAAAATCTTCGCAAACTTTTGATCAATTTTCTTGCATGATGTATCGTTTGAAAGCCCGAATTTTGCACTTTAACTCGTGACCGTTGCTAGGCAACCCGATAAACACGCGCTAGACAATCGTGCCCGGAGGTTGACGTGTCATCCAGGGCGCATGAGGGCGCAATGAGACTTACCCCGTTCCCAATTCCAGGGCGCATGGGGGCGCAATGAGACTTAATGAGTTAAATGCACTTAAATTACAATGAATGTGGGTTTTCTACAGCGTTGTAATATTTGACGGGATATAAAGGATAAAATTATAAGAATTATAGCTATACTTTGCAACATGCAAAACAACAACAATGACGAGCAATTAGTGAAATGCAAACCGAGAAAGAAATGCAAAATACCAAGCAAAAGACATCGAAATTAAAATATATTTACTATATAAATGCAGTTATTCAAACGTAAAAATATAATTTTACTTACCATATCGTTAATTTGAGCTGGTCTACAGCAGGAGTTTTATTTATTTGTCGCTGCATTTCCAAGGGAAACTATAGTATTATGAAAAAAAGACTTCGTAATAAAAGCTTTCCGCGCCTGAAACGGCATTAAAAATTATAAAAAAAAATTATTTATACTTACTGAAGCGTTGTAGTTAGTATTTCTTTTCCGTTTTCACATTATTTTCAAACGAGCATGGCAGTTTTGTGTTCTATAATTGCAATCTTTTTAAAAATTGTGTGTAGTGTACGATGTTATCCTCTATGTTTCTTGTTCATTTGTTTTTACATATTCCGGCTCGTCGGCATAAAAAACACTCAACAACCCCCCTGAAATGGATTTTCCTGTGATTGACGTAAATGTTCAAAGCCAATGAAATCTCGCAATCGTCATTCAAAAAAAATACCAGTATCAGGTAACTTGCATCCCGCATAGTCACAGCGAAAATTCAACAAAATTGATAAAAAACTGTGCTTATTTTTCGTTATTTTCGATGTTGTTTTCGACAAAAAATTGACTGGCAGTTTAGTGAAAGTATCTGAGCTTACTTTTATGTTGTTTAGTTTGTGTTTTATTGCGTGTTTTTAAAGTTTTTGTGCTATTTCTCCAGGGCTACGTGCGTATATAGGAATTTAGCTGCCAACCTTAGCATATATTACTATAGGGATACGTACATGATCTGACCGCGCGTAAACAATGCAGTCGGGGACTGAGTAGTAGTATGATTTTATTGAACAGAAATGAATTAATACCACTGATTGTTGGGCTACCTATGCTAGGAGTTGGCTTTTGTGCTCTTCGAATATCAGTGTTCATTCACGGATTACCACAATTTGTTGGTCTCATGGGTGCCAAAATCGACAAACGTAAACTGCTAACCAAGAGCTATAAAACAAATAGCTTTTCAAAAAGATAAACTTTAATCAGTCAAAAGGGATGAGGG